TTGAAGTTTGCCTAAGTTCAAGTGGTTTTTGTCAACGTATTTGTTAAAAAACCTTTGAAAAATTAAATTATTTAAACATTCCAAAAACTCCAACCCCATATCAGCAAACATAATAACAAAAAAAATTAGAGGCTATTTTTGATTAAAGTGCATTTGGCAAAATTTAAACGAAAAAAGTTATTGACTTAAGGTAAAGTCTAAATCAAATTGTATATGCTATTAAAATTTCAAATCCATATCGTTTGCATTTCTCCAAATATAAAAAATGCAAAATAACTAATTACAAAAAAGCGAAAAACCACTGAATAAAAAATATCCATATATCTAAATAGCCGATCACAACATAAAAAATAAAGTCTTTATTCATATATTATATCACGAGAACTATGAATTTAATCGGGTAAACTAGGCTCAGTAGTTTTTTGTTTGGTTTTTGTTGGAAAATGTTGAATGCAAAATAATTTAATAAAATCACGAGACCGCGTAGCGGTCGAGGGGTTTTATTTTTAATTATTTAATTATTTAAAAAGTAATACGGCTGAAGGACGAAAGTCAATGGCCTTTTGAAAAATGTATTTTTTTCAATAAAGAACATTTATTATTATTATTAATAAGTAATAATTGATATTTTAAATGTTTGTTAAAACTTGTAAATAACACCATAAAATCGTAAACATAAATCCAATATGGAGGCTAAAATTTAATCGCTGTTAAAAAGTTCTAGTGATTTAATCGCTTATTTAAACGAAATTTATTCGAAAATTCAAGGCTTCTGATTGGTTCATATTATATTGAGGGAAATAATCTAATTTATTTATTAGATAAATATTACTTTCCTCAGATTGGAATTAAAATTGAAGCTTGCTTATCGAGAAAAAATAAATTGAAGCTTGGTTGTGAAGAAAAAAATAAAATTAATGTAGGTTATAATTTTTTACTTGCTGAGACTGTCTATAATTAATATTTAGTTTATTCATTTTAATAAATTAATGTTTTGAGTTTATGGTAAACTAATAAATTAAAACGAAATCAGTTATTTGCAACTTATAAACTGAACTGTCAAATTATCTTTTATGCTTCCAATGGTAGGTTACCATAGAGAAAAGTCTATGATGCCTACTATGATTACAATTAGTAAACTTGAAAAAATTTTAAATTTATAAATAAAAGTAAATTTAGCTCCATCTATTTTTTTAAATAAATATGTAAGAATTGTATGTTATATATGAGGAGGTCCATTCCAAAACTCAGCTTATCCACTTTTTAATAAAAATGAGTTGTACATTTAACATGTAGCCCCATATACCCTGAAAAGATCATAATATTCTAAAACTCATCTTATTTCATTTAAAATTCATTTACAAATTGACTATCGTTCCTTATCTATAGGTTATATCATGTCAGACCTGGCTTATACTTAAATAATGTAATGTTATTTTAAATTATTTCAACTTGGAGGTATACCTTTTTAATCATTTATTTCATTTAAAGTATTCTGTTCGCCTGATATGCGTTAGTACTCACCTTTAAGGTTTTTGACATTTTGCTCAATCATAATATGGATAAGCCGAGTTTTGGAATGCACCTCCTCATATAGGTAATATATTATATGTAATACCTATGTATATAATGTATAATATGTAATATACGTTATCTTATAAAACCTGATAAAAGAATATATACTTTGTAAAACACGTTAGTATTATGCCCCTTGAAGGCCTAACTTAAAAATGATGTATGTCTCTCGTATAAACATAATTTGCATGTAGAAGTTTATAAATCAAATAATTGTTAATTATCAGTACTTTAACGTGATATACTCAAAATTATAAAACAACGTTGTTTCTTCGACTTTTTAACCCTGGTAAATGGTAAAATTTTAAATTAAATTGTCCCCAGCGCTCCCTGTATGTTAAAATAAAAAAAAATTTATCTAAATTTTAAATCAATATGTTTTTAAATAAAAATGTTATCACAAAATATCGAAATTTATCTATTTTTAACACAGTAGTGACTTAAGGCCTGAAAACCACCGTGCTCAAGGGAAGACATTTTTTGTTGAAAAAAATGCACCATTTAAATGTAGAAACAAGGTTAAAAAATATATTCAATTCTGGCATCACTTGCAAACAAATTTGTTCGTTTTTTACGCAAAACCATAGTTAAAACATAAAATCACTTAAAAATGCTCATTACTTAAAATAATTAAAAATCACTTACTACTTTGTTGCCGATTGCCTAGTTAATCAGTCCCGTACTGAACCTACCTGCAACAAAGAAAAAAACATTAAAAAACAACTTAAACAAGCAAAATCACAATTTTTACCTTTAAAGCCCTTTCCCTGTCACCATCGCGATGCATCGTTGATATTGCATTGTCTGGCACAAAAAAAAAGGTCACTCACGCACTAAAATATCAAACCGAAACACAAAAACTGGAATAATATTCGCATTTTTATCAAAACGACGCCAAGCTTGTCAAACTATCGATCGTTTTGCAATTATGGCTGACAAAGTGACAAAAACGACAAAGATGACAGGATTATACGTTATAATGTTATTTCATATGAATAAAAGTCACTTTATCAGGATTAACACTTTTATTCAAACACTACTTGAACCTAAGACAAAGTTAGACTTGAACCTACTACCAAATTAAGAAACAATATTTATAATCAAAACAGCGTATAAACACACCGACAGCGGGATTATTACTGATAAATAAATACATGTTTTGAATCATTTGCATCGGTTGCGTAATGCCTAACACTTTTTGTGTTTTTTTAATGTATTTATTGAACACAAAGAAAACAAACGTTTATAAAAATTTAATATAAATATCAAATAAGGCTTTTGTGTTTAACGAAATAATATAAATATTTATATATACAGGGTGTATGGTAGGTTAGACGTTTATGGAGAACGGCAAAAGATATCGAATTGAAATTTTTATAGCAATTATAATATCATTTAAACTATTTTTCTAAATTAAATTAAACAAAATTACTTTTCCGGTTTTAACGGAAGCGGTATCAACTTTGTTATTGTAAATGGATCACCACAATTTTTTTTACAATTTTAAATTCTTACCATCATTCCTTATAAAATGGCTATATCATGTCCTATACCTAAACCTCATAGTTTTTTCTAAACTTTTTTAATATAAGGTTTGCTGATATTCGGTTGGATTTATTTAAATCTTAAAGCACTGTTTTAAATATTCCATGTAAATTATTGTAATATTTCTAAAAAATATACTTGATAAAAAACAATGTGAATGTAGCTAACTTAAAACAGCAATAACTTTTTTATTCTCAATGGAACGCCCTGTATATTTTTAAATAATTTAAAATGAAATTATAATACCTTTTCATTAATATAACTATTCCATATACCTAAAGTAAATATTAAGAACGATATATATTTTACAATTAACCTAATAATATGAAGAAAAACTGATAAAATGTTGCTCATTTGGTATGAATAACAAAACTTTCCCGATTTTTATTATTATTAAAATAAAGGAAAATAGCTACTCAAAAGAAGTTGAAAATATTTATGTTTAATGGATAACCAAATTAAAGGTACAACATACAAAAAGTTTCTGCATTTTCTAGCAATAAGTTTGCATATTTTCAATGAAGAATAAACAAATTCGTCAAAACTTTTGAAAAAACATTTGAAAAGTGATTTTACTCCATTTTAACTATTTTTTTTACAATTTTTGTTAATTTAAAACATGTATTTCTAACCTTATTAGTAAACCATAATAAACCTTTTGATGAAGGTACCGGGCGTTCAATCAGACCCAGTGTTGCCAGATATTTTAAAGTCGAGGCGCCAATTTTCGAGTGAGTTATCGCCTAAAAGCGCCAACAAAATTGCAATTAGCGCCAACGTTAGGTTGGTAAAATTAAAATTAAATTCTTGTAACGAATTCGCAAAATGCATTAAAATATTTAAACACGCTATTTTAATATTTTTATAGATAAAGACATTTTTCTTGATAGTAAACCATTTTATTATTATTTATGAAATATACAAAAATTAATGTTTAATATTATTAAAAATAAATAAAAAAATAAATTTATTTTTAAAAATAAATAAATTTAGATATGGCCTACTAGCATTCAAAATAATAAGGAATAGAAACTGTTCCTATTCATTATTATTGTGAATGCTGGTAGGCTATATTTATTACTAATAATATTATTGTTAAGCCGGCTGCACAACAGCCCAGTAACGGAAAGGGGGAAAAAGTTAGCTGTCCAAACAGAACTCATATTTTAATTTCAATTTCTTTTACTTGAATTCAAATTTTGACCGCACTCGCCTCTAATTATAAAATTACATTTTTTTACACATATACACTTACCCAGTAAGTATGTGGTTACACTACTTTAATGCCATCTATGATTATTATTTGTGGTGATCGCTGTTAATATCTATAAGTATTAAATACAGGCAGCTGCATGCAATCTGAAGATATATTTTAAGTAAAGTTTACTTCGAAGAATTTCCAAAAGAGCAATTTTTTTTTTTAAATCGCCCAAATTGCGGATTGCGCTTTATAAATACATATACATATGTGAAGATGAATTCTTTCTTAAAAATGCATTTCTGCGTTCTGGTTAGATCTTATTATGTTATCCTTAAGGGCCTTAAGTTAAGGCTATAACATATTGGTAAAAAAAATATAATAAAAAAAGTAAAAAGTCCATTTGAGGGATTTTATATCATATATTCAAAGAAATTTGCAATATTTTTTAGGGTAATGGAAATTTCGCTAATAGATACGTTAAAAAAATGTGAGCCTATCTATAGATAGCTATAGCAATTTTTGTAGATTACGAGTTTATCCCTTTAAATTGTCATAAAATACAATAAAAGCTAGCACAATCCTGGGAGGTATGCAACTACTGTTACGGCAACGGTATTTGATTGCCTAAGATACAGGTCAAAATTTTATAGCTTGCGCGGTAGAAAAACATAACCTCAAAGAAAAACAAACAGATTTTTGTTGTAGGAGTACTATAATAAAACAGTTTTTTGGCGGATAAAGCGAAAGAATTTTTCTTAGTGAACAAAAGAGAATTTTCGGGATGAGCACGATAAATATACGGGGTGTTGCCGTGGAATTCCCCTTCGAACCGTACGAGTTACAGAGAGAATACATGGACAAGGTGATTGAATGCCTGCAAAACGAAACAAATGGCGTTATGGAGTCGCCCACTGGGACCGGCAAGACCCTGTCGTTGCTGTGCTCGACTTTGGGCTGGTTGCAGGTGAAGAAAGCGCAAATTCAGGCGCAGAGAATAAACGGCATTGTGGAAGAGGAGAAGCAGGGTTTTATGGGGAATCTGCTGAAAGAACTGACTGGAAAAGTGGATAAAGGGACGGTAAATAACGCAGATAACAGCGGACGGGCCTTCATGGGCTTACCGACCATCATATATGCCTCAAGAACACATACTCAGTTATCACAGGCAATTAATGAACTTAAGCGAAGTGCATACAAGCACATGAAGGCTTGTGCATACATCCAGAAGTGATGAAGGAACAGAGTAAATATTTATTTAACAGTAAATTATTCAAAATTCAAATTAAATATTTTTTTGTAGACCCATATGTGCCGTTTGAAAGTGAAAACGCGCAGTTGCCATTTTCACAACCACTTGGAATGTATAAAAAAAGACCCTGCCATCTCAGAGAGTCCGGTGATGGACATAGAAGACCTGGTAAAACTGGGCAATCTACACAAATTCTGTCTGTATTACATGGCTTGGGAAATCCAAAAGTCCTTTTGGATTGCCTTCTGAGGCAGATATCATCTTCATGCCCTACAACTATCTGTTGGACCCCACGGTCAGAAAAAGTCTCGGCATTGTTTTGAGCAACAATGTTGTCATACTGGATGAAGCACACAACATTGAAAGGTACATTTTAGGTTATTTGTGATATTTAAAATGTAATTTTTGACATGTGTCAACTGTCATTTTTTGTTGATCACTTGTGACCATGAAGCCTACACAAGGAGACCAAGCTTCATGTATACCAAAATCTTCCTAAGATAAGAGGGCGCTAGTGTTCTGTTGATTGTTTGATTTGTACTCAAATGCTACCAAAATAAATCATGTCAGTACTCATCAACAATGGTAAAAAAAACAAGACCCAATTTTAATGGGCAGGTTTTTTCAATTTTTTATGTAGGCTCCTCACTTGTGACATTCAAAGGTGCAAATTGAAAACTTGAATTTGGCAGCTAAAAACCCCAACTCTAAAAACTATACCTACCCATGATTTTTTAATTTCAAAAAATAATTTTGAATGTAATTTTTTTTAAACTGCCATGACTTAATTAGTTTAGGTCATAATAAAACAAAGTTTGGATTATTTTACAGGAATACGGATCTAAATTATATATTTTCAAAAATGTTACCAAAATTCAAAGAATTTTTTAAGTGAGACTCTAAAAACTCTACCTATAACTTTTTTAATTAAAAAAAAATAATTTTGCATATAATTTTTTTTTTTAAACTGCTATGACTTAATTATTTTAGTTCATAATGAAACACTTTTTGCATAATTTTATAGGAATTAGTATCAAATTATATTTTTTCAAAAATTTCACCAAAATCCTCAGAATTTTTCAAGAAAAACTTTAAAATAATGTTGCATGTAAAATTTAAAAAAAAAAGTTTTGACATATTTTTATGATTATCTAGAAAGGCATGGAAGTCGCCTATTAACATGTACCTATATATTTTCTAAAACTATTCAAAATTCCCTTTAATTTGATGTATAATTTATTAAAACTTTCCTAAATATCTAGAAAGCCATGGGAGTATATTTTTTAAGCTACATTAATTAAGCATTCTGTTTCTTCATCAGGCACTTGGACCCATCAGCAAGGAGGCCTCCTTGGAACATTTGCAGAACGAGGGCGAACGCGTTCTGTTGGACAAGCAAAAGAACGGATTGCAACCACATTTTCCTCAATTTCATGCCCACGGTTATCATGGATCCCGCCAAAATCGAGGAGGCAGTGAGTTGGAAGTTTAATTTTAATTTGTTGTATAATTTTTTTTAAAAATTACACCACCTCAAACTGTAACAATTTTTTTTAAGGTAACAAACATGGTTAGCGTTACGGTCCAAGATTGTGGAAACTAAGAGTTCTTCAGGCGGAAATCAAGATGATAATTCGACCATCGCCGAACGCCGAGATTTCCACCATCAGGTTGTGCCTGGCCAACGATACCGGACATCAACATGTAGTACATGTACACTGAAGAACTAGACCCCGAACTGTAAGTTGTAGACGTTTTGTTTAATAACTTTAAAGTCTTTCATCGGATTTTAACAATGTTTTATTTTTTATAATTTAGATAAAATAGAGTTTATTTTCACGTATTACATTTAGAAATCGCTCGATAAACCAAAAAGTTATTAAAGATTAAAAATTGTTTTATTTGTTGACATACTTGTATTGTTTTCTTGAATAACTTTAAAGCCTGTCGATGTTGTATTTTTCGTAGTACCAACGGTAAGAAAACGGTAAGAACACCACCGGCAAAATGTGACGTTTAAGGTTTTAATATCTTCTAAACTAATTGATTTAGAAAGTTTGCTTTTGTTTGAAATGAATCCTAAAACTCCACCGCAGGTTTTGAATTGTAATTTTAATTATTTAACTCGCAGAAAACGTCCAAAATCCGGACAAACTGAGTAATGTGCCTCGACCGGAGGCCCGGCGCTTGAGGTTGTTCACTCCGGAATACCCGGAGGGCAGGGACCGCCAACGACGTCACCTACTTCATCGGTTTCTTTGGACCCAGGGAGGACAAAATGTTCGGATTGTCGTCGGAGATGGAGCGCGACCTCAAAATACATTTCGGCCAATTCCGGCGCTAGAATCGACCTCGCCGAAGAGGTCAAAGTTGTCTTTAAGGTTAGTCACATCTTGTTAAATATCTAGGAACGCATGGAAGTCGCCCAATATATCGCCCAATTTTTGCATAAAATTGTCTTTAATTTGACATTTAAATCGCACTCAAAAGTTACGAGACCTGGTGCACGCCTATTTTCATATCGCATTTTGTGGTATATTTAAAAAACGTATGGAAGTATCCGCCAACAATGTTGTATATATATTTATACATCAGTTGGATATACTTCTTATGATTACATTAAACAAAGTATTTTATTTTAAAACCAAAGTCAGGTTGTTTTTGTAATACAATTTAATTTACATTTATTTTATTTAAGCCCTCTTATATTGCTTATGGTAATTTTATTTAACTTAATTTATTATTAATTTTACTGAATATTTTTTATATTCTTATATACATTCTACTAATTGTAGTTATTACAAGCATTGTTTTTAGACAATGCTACAAGTTATAAAACATTTAATAGGCAACCATCTAACCACTTAAAACTGGTACTACACTAGTGTTGCCAGGTTCGCTATTTTTGTCGTAGATATTCTGTTTTAATGGTTCCCACGCAATGCAATCAATTTCTTCCACAAGACACTAAATATTTTTTCTTACTACCTCGACTCAAAATACGTTGTTTCGTCCCTGATTCCACGGCAGAAAGTTAACGTTTTATGCATTGGTCAAGCTATACGCGCACACTCTAATAGCGGGAGTAAAAATTTTTTAGTCGTGTGCTTAACATTCAAATTTCGTACTGCCAACATGAGAAACACAAAAATATGACAGTTTTAAACCACAATTTTGCAATTATAACAACAAATAAACAATTTATGTTTTTACTTTTTTACTTTTTATGTTGTTTTAAGTGTTTAATGGTACTTTTATTTGTTATAAAGTAGTAATTTGTTAATTAAAATACAACGTTTTATTTTTACTGTATTGGCACCGCTGAATTCACGGCCTACTGATATTTATTTATCAAGCTCTTCAAATGGAGATAGGTACATAAATACACATTTAATTTTTTCCCGTATTTTCGGCCGGGTTGTATTTTCGGCCGAGGTAGTAAGAAAAATAGTATACACTACACGGGCAGAAAGTGTGAGAGCCCTGAACTGCGCGCCATGATGCCCTCGGCTTCGCCTCGGACATCATGGCGCGCAGTGCAGGAATCTCACACTTTCTGCCCTTGTAGAGTAATATACTATTCTTGTCAACTAATTTTTTATTTAAATTATAGAAAAGCGTTGCGTCGAAATTTGACACTATGCTTATTTTTTTAATTAGTTTAGATTGTTTTTACTAAGCACATGAATAATTATTATTATAATTAATTAGGAAATATTATACAAACTATAGATCATATAAAATGTTTGTGAAAACATTTATATAAGCTTATTATGTAACTACAGGTTACAGTAACCTTATATGTCCATATTAACTACATGGCGATTTTATAAAACCTTAAACTTTTATTTACTTTGACTACCTTTATATAACTTATTGTTAACGTAAGTTTATACAAGGTCACGACTCGGCGAACGTTGCAGCGATTCGTCACATCACAGAGCAAGTCGCATGAAATCATTTTGCCCTATTATACGTAAAAAAGTTTCACATCAAAATTACTAAAACAGTTTTTTCTAAAATAAAGTATTTTTATTATATTTTAATTAAATATCATATTTAAAAGTTCAAACAATATATTACAAAAAAGCATTACTAATTTCCATACAAAACATTCTCATTTAGGACCTTCATAATACCCAAACTAGTTTAAATATTTACCGGCACTTGATCTCGAAATCCGAATTGAATAGATCCAGTCCAGATTGAATGCTGTATGTACTGTAATTTGGACAGGTCATTCAGATCAAAAGATCAAAACTGGATCATGTTTGAATGCAAAGGTCGCAGACGCCGGGTCTGGGTTCAACCAAGGGGATGATGCTTAACATGGAATACTATCAATATCAATTGGTGGTCGTGAATAGAACTTGTTTTACTGTTAAACGAGATAAAACAGGTTCAAGGGAAGTATAATATAAATTAATTAAACGTAAAACCTACTCAAAGTTAGTCGTTCGGCCCAATACAAATATATAGGATCAATTTAAAAAATACTATAAAACATCAGATTATTAGGTAATAATAAATACCTACTAAACATTTAAACGTCCAATATCGTACATGTTTCCATGACACTAAGTGACCTTTTAAATACACATTGGCTTTATGGCACTTAAGTCACAGGCTGAAGTTAGCAACAGGTTTTTAGTCACGGGCTGAAGTTAGTTTTAAGTTAGTTGACAGTTGTCAAATGTCATACAATAGTTAAAATTTCGTTAAAAATGTCGCCGGCAGGAGCTTCCATGAGTGCCCATAAAACATTTTTTGTTTCACCTTCAATTCAATTTCACCTATACAGATTTTTAATTCTCTATTTTTTTATAAATCATTTTTTCTTCTTTAAATACAAATGTCATAATACAAAAATTATAATTAAATAAAATAATAATTTTAATTTTTTAGTTAAAAAAGTTAAAGAAAATAATTTCTGTAAATTTTTTTTAATAAGACAACAGATTTGCATTGATCTTATTTATATTCAATACATGTTGAAAACAAATCTTAGTCTTTTAGTTTGACGATTATACATTGTACATTGCCTTAGAATCTATAGTGGTATCAAAACCTAAAAAAACACCACTCAACTTTGTTATTTCAAATAGAACACCCCATATATTTTTACATTTTTAAATTCTACATAAAATTCTGAGTAAAATTACTATGTCCTATACCTAAAGTGAGTATACCTACTATTTAACTATAACTATAGTTTTCGATTTATTAATTTCTTTAAAATTTGACAAATGCGCGTCAATCAAAAAATTAGGTTTGCGGATATGGAGGTGTAATTTATGGAATCTTAATACATTGTTTAAAATATTCTATGTCAATTCTTTAACCTTTTTCAATAAATTACCCAAGAAAACCCGGTCAAACCGGAAGTGACATTTTGTTCAAAATATTTTAGAAAAATAGGCTTAATTGGATTATAAACGCTTTAAAAACTTTAAACCGATATCTTTTCCGTTCTCCAGAAACTTTCAATGGACCGCGAACTTGAAACACCCTGTATTTCGTAAATGTGCAACACCCTGTATATAATTAAAATTATTTTAAAATGTAGCTTTAATGGTTGTCCATTTATTCAGTAATAAAGTTTAGTATTACACTCGAGATTATGCGCATTATCTCGTATATTAATTTACTGCTATCTTCAAGCGTTCTATAATTCAAGCTTTATTATTGGCAACGCTCAATGACAAAGTATTCGATTATCTCCTAGGTTGTAAAAATAATATCGACCAATTAGGTGAAGGTTTTTGCATCCTAGACTGTTAAAAACCCGTTGGGACCAATACAAAGCTGACAGCTACATATCTAACCTCACTTTATACTTTTAATAAATGTTATTATAATAATGTACGTTTTTTGTATTTTTTAACAAATTAAACTGTGCCCTAAAGATAAAATATTGTATGTCATTCGGCTATAATAACTATTATTAATTATAAATAAAATAAAAACGTGAAAAATTTAGGTTTGTGATTTTATCTAAATTAAATCTTATATTGATCTAGCAGGCTTAGAATTTTGAAGTTAAAAACAGTTCATATTTTAAGGGAGGCAAGTGAGTAATACGTATCATTATAAAAATGTTGAAGGTGTCAACATAAAAGCAAAGTAAACAGAGTGTGGGCATAATTTAAATAAAACATGACGCTAGAGCAAAAATTTATTATATTCCGGTGGATATGAGATGTCGGGTTGGAAAAAAATAAAAGGTTGGTCAGGTCCCACCGCGTGAAAAATACATCAGTACAGCTGTTGTCACATGTTGGAGGAAGGTAACGGGTAACGGGAGAGGCGCAGAAAGGAGAGTGAAGGAATATGTTTGCGAATGGCGACGCCACGGAGGCCGTACGAGTCCCCCGGGACCTGCAGAGGTCCAAAAACCCCGTTTATACTTACTTTTCGGGACGAAGGGGACGAGGGACCGTACAACTTTTACTGCACCTGCTTCAAACCATTTATATAAATAATTTCAAAAGTTTAACACTTTCCCCCTTTATATGTACTCATTATTGCTGCGAATAACTTTCAATTTAAGGCTTTCATATCCCTTAAGGGCATCTTAATATTAATTTGTTGCGCCACGGCAAAAATTTTAATGTCCTACTTAAGATTATTGTTGCCATCTTCCCGAAATGATTTAAAACCCTTTGGGTACCTACTTACACGCGTTCAATTTATTCTTACAGGCTATTTTAAACATTTTAAAAAGTAATGATATTCAAAAAATAATTATGGAAATTAATTATTTTTTTAACTCCAACCTTAAAACGCCCATTATCGTATGTACATGTTTCCATGACACTAAGTGAACTTTTAAATAAACATTGACAAGTTCTGGCTTTATGGCTGTTTAGTCACCGACTGAAGTTAGCTTTAAGTTAGTTGAATGTCAAATGTCTTACAATCGTTTAAATGAAATACCCTTCTTGTAAAAAAATTCTAAATGTAAAAATTATTTTATTATATAAATAGTGTATATAAACATTGTACTGACCTTTTAATTTCGCCGGCAGTAAACTAGTTTCAACTTAATTTGGAGTGAAGACTCCACCGTGGAGTGCCTATAAAACATTTTCTTTACTTTCAGTGTAAAAAAACTGGTTTTAGTTTATTTTAGAGGATAGATTTGCGCACTGGAAATACAGTGTCCCAAGAATGGTTACTCTATTGTTTTAAATTTAATCATTTTTAGATAATAATAAGTATTTGTCGTAGTATGCAATTTGTTTTCTTTACACTCATTTAATTAAACACTCGCTCGCAAGCTTGCTCGTTCCTAGTTAAAATTCGTGACTAAAATGGCGTTTATCAAACTTGATACACAATATACTATACTATATATATAATTATAATATTAAAAATATAAATGTTTTCAAAAATTATTTTTAAATTTATGTATTTTTTACTACTTGCTTTCTACCTAAAATTTAATTTTTGTTTATTTTAAAAATGACTTCTTGATAGCCGAAAAAATAACATTGAGATAAAAAAATTGGGATTTTAATTTGTATGAGAAAAAGTTGTTTGTAATTAGAAACGAAGTCACAATACAATTTTTTTTTGAGGATCGAGTTTATTTATATTTTTGATTTATCTTTATCCAAGAAGAGTCATTCTTGATTACCTACCAAAAAATAACACTTACGTAGCAAAATTTGGTATTTTAACTACAGGGTGTTTAAAAGTTAGGAAAATCTATTATGGACATTTTTAACACCTTGTAGTTAAAATGTGCTACGTAAATGTTATTTCTCTTTTTAAATTCGATTGGTTTAAACGGTTTTAAAATTACTTTACTTTTCCCTCTTTTTAACACGGGATTTTTCATTATTTGGAAATTATTTTTTTCTCAGTAATTTTATTAGCTACTTAAAAAGTTATTTTTGATTCTCCTTTTAAAATGATATCTTTGGATAGACAATTTTTAAAATTGGTAAAATTGGTTTGTGATAAGATAGATAATAATATTAATAATAATAATAATAATATAATCTTTATTGCCCAACAGTTTATAGAAAAAATTACTTTCCTATATTATGTATTACATACATATAATCACAAGTCCTGACTGATTCATCAACGCACAGACCAAACCACTTGACCTAAAGGGCTAAAATTTTGACAGTACATTCTTATAATGACATGGGTAACCGCTAAGAAATATTTATTAAAAATTCCATTCCAAGGAGTGACACTTCAAAATTAATTTATAATTAATCCCGGCGCATTCGCCATTTTTTTAAAGGAATTTTACGGTTGAATGGATTATAATGAAATTTGGTATGAAACTGCATTGGAACGGGACGAAAATGGGACAGGAACGGAAAGGGACGGGAACAAGACAAATATTTTATTTTTTTTTCTAAGAACACGACGAAGCAGCAGGTAAACAGTTATTAGTTAACTATATACAGGCTAAGATGTCCGGTATTTCCCAGGTTGATTTTTTCTACTTGGCTATCATCTTAATTATTGGTTTACATTCTTAAACCAATTAAAAAAAAATATTTTTTTTCATGTCCCTGATAAAATGGCATTTTAATAACATAATAAAAAATTCATAACTCACTAATAAATAGATATGCAAAAATATATGAGACATGTTTTTGTAGGAAAATGCTTTACAAAATAGATCTCTTTTTTATTCGTAAAATTGTTAATTTATATGATATTAATGTAATTTTGTTCACTAAACTCGTGTTTATTTTTAAATGTAAATATTAAACAGACTAGACAGTTACAATAAAGCTTTTCCTAAAGGATTCTTTAAAGTTTTTTTAGTATTAGTCTCAATACCGCCTTTTGTATAATGAAAACCTTTTTTAGTATTTAAATAACTTCCATAAAATAAAATACCATATTTGATTTTTTTCTCAAAATTTGCATGATAAATAATTATAATTATTTATTTTATTTTTAGACTTTCAAAAATAAGATAATTTTTTATAACATTTATAATATATTTTACTGTACTTAACTGTAAAATGTAAAATACCAAGATTGTTATACGACCTACCTCTTTGATTTATCCCGTTTCGTGAACTTCCAGTTAAGATTGGGATTGAATCGGAATCGACTTATACTTACCTCTTACCTCAAAACTAAATTAATTACGACTAAAGCCTAATAATAATCCCCAGTCCAGCCATTTTGATGCTTGAACCTAATACCCCCGTCACTCAAGCAAGTTCGTTGCAAAGTTGTCCATCGAGCGGGGGTTGGCGAAGGGGGGGGGGGGAGCGGGACACAAGGGTCGACCTTCCGGGGCCTAACACGTATTCCACATCTGCGGTATGCATTATTCATGTCCGGC